TCCCAGCATCAGACAGGGGACTTGGTACATTCTCAAACGTTTCGCCGGCATCGTAGTCGGCATCATCAGTAGGCTTCGCCATTCTCCGCACCAAGATACGAGTTCGTCAAAAAGACAAGTGCTAGGCTAGGACAGAAAGAGAAGTGATAGTGTAACCGTTTTCGGCAGAACGTTCGTCGAGGGATTGACTTCACTTGTCTCTTTGACGAGTTCGTAGCTTGGTGCAGAGAATGGCAAAACTCAACGATGATGCCGACTACGATGCCGGCGAAACGTTTAAAAATGTACCAAGTCCACTATCTGATGCTGGAAATCATGACAACTACTATGGCAGACGACTTCGGACTAGGTGCATTCTACTAAGTCGCCCTGACAACAAGACCAAGTTGCGACAACGAGGTCAACCCACTTCTCATATATATGATCCACTGGTAGTCTCGAATACCGACCAAAATAGTGTGGCCTTTTGTATGATCGCAGTCTTCATTCGTGGTATAGAAGTTGGTTGACCATGTTTTTTCAAATTTGCCATATTGGTAGGAAGACTTAGAGGAACGCACATGGTCCAGAGTCTATTGTATGCATCATCATTTCCAAAATCGGACCGTGAACGTGGTACATTTCCAGACGTTTCGCCGGCATCGTCAGTGAGTCTTACCAGTCTTAGCACCTTATTACGACCCATCAAAGAGACAAGTGAAGCTATCCCTCGACCAAATGTTGACTAAACAGTTGTGATATCTCTCCTGTCCGAGGCTATTCACCTTTCCAATATCCTCGTATCACACCTTCACGATCACATTTTTTTCTTGTTTTTTTAACTGTGGTATAGTGTGCCCTTTTGAGTGGCTTTTATGAGAACCCTCCACACTTCATGCTGTTTTTTCTCACCGCCTTCACCCTTGTGCTAGGAATGTTGATCAGAGTCTGCCATATTGTTACGCAGTCCTCCATCCCTAGGTCTTATTAGAGTCTCCCTCTCCGTAGCATCTGTCTGCTCTCTCCCTGATTCAAGTATTTCACTCGACCCCTGACACCCCACCTGTGCTACTCGAGGCGTTATTTCTCATACTCTGCGAATGATAGACTAACTTGAGTTTAAAGACCCTGCGTAATTCTCATGGTGAAGCCTTTGCTTCATGTACCACGTCTATGGTAAAACAGGCTACTGTCAACCAACTAGCTCTAGTCTCCACCGCGTCTATTGTGTTTCTATCCCTAATACAAAGTCTATCACTCCAAATGCCCTAGTCTCTTGTGTGCAAGCCCACAAGTGTTGTGACACTGCTTGCTTTGATTAGGTTCAGTGGTAAAAGGCCTACCCATACCATTGTGGGAAAATTAAAATATTTGTCCTTCATCGCCTTTAGCGAAATACGGCAAATACATCTCATAAACTTGTGTTTCGCCATTACTTGTATTCATTATTTACATTTGGTTTCGAAACTATTAGTAAATCTTGAATACGATTGTCAGTCACTTTAGGTCGCATAGGATAATGGTTGTTCAATTTTCCCACAAGCATATAAATTGGCTTCACATTTCCATTGAATTTCACTTGCATTTTGAAGGCTGCTTTAAACAACCAACCTAACGTTTCCATAGAATTTTATATAGCCCTGCTTCTCAAATACTCTTTAGAAGGCAAAGCTATTGTGGGA